TTTTTTTTTTGCGTGCCTTCTCTGTATTTTTGTGCCATGAAAATCCGTAGTCTTATTGGTAGATCATTGTTACTTACAAAGAAACAAAATCTTTCGAGGAATTTTAAGAGACTCTTCGAGTTTCATTAATAGACTGAGATTCCTTATTTTTACGAAGAAATAAAAGAACTCTAAAAGAAAATTTGTTTCCTTTATCGAACAAATACTCCATTTGTTTTTTCTATCAAATATTTTCATAAGTATTTGCGTGCCTTTTCTGTATTTTTCTACCTTCAAGTTTCTCGCAAGTGTACAAAAATTCATCTGGCTATTAGATCATTATTATTCGATTATTCGGTAGAGATAAAATTCTTCAATAAGGGACGTTGCTGCAATTAATTTTTTCCGGGGAAGGAAAATGCCGAGGGAAATTTTCTAAATATTCCCTCCTTCGGTACAACCCTCCCAATGAATTTACTCCTGCAGAGTAAATAAATTTCAGAGACTTAATTTTTACACGTTTTACAGGCTGTTTGTAAATTACTGCACCTTTGAAGGGAGTAAAAGTTGAAACTTCACCGAAGGCAGTTCGACACGAAGATTAATCTCCTCCTGTTGGCAAACAAGAGGAGATTCAATAAGAAAGAAACGAAAATTGCAATCAATCACCGAAGTATAACGATTAGCCGAACGCTTGAATTTTGCAGCCGTGGATCAGATAAAAAGAGAAAAAGAAAAGGAGGATCGAATGTTGAAACTTCGGTGAAGAATTACAGTCAAAGTTGCGTTTCACTTCGAAGATCAACGCAGCATTAATTGATTAACAAATCCTCAGATGTAATCCAGTAATAATATAACTTCGTTGGAAGTTGTTTCGCGATTTGAATTCAACTTCCAAGACGAGATCACCGCGTCTTATTCCAACTGCGGATTAAACAGATGATTTTCATTCACTTATCCTCGAGTGTTCTAATGAATTTACGACTCGTCGGCTTCGCTGGTTACCTGCAAAACAGATGGAATTATTATCCCATTGTAGCTTGGAAACGAATTGTTTTCAAGCAAATTTTTATCCTTCCTGAAAGATCTTTCAAAGATTTAATGATGAAAAAAACCGAAAATTTTAAATAGCCGAAAAATATCAGACGTGAACTATTTCGTTTTTCTACGAACAGCTTAATAATATTTTGCAACTAACTTTAAACGTAGAAGGAGAAAAGTCATTGAGGCAGAGATCGTGAAAAAGACGTCGAGTATTGTAGAAAAATGAAAAGAATAATTCGTAGAATAATAAACAATACACTAATATTGAACCAGAAGAAGTATTCTTTATATAATATTTAGTTTATTATAAAACAATTCTACGTGTTCCATTTTTCTATGAACAATGTAATAATGTTTTCTAATTAACTTAAACGTCAAGGAAGGAAATTACTTAAGGGAAATAATGGAAAAGACGCTGAACATTATGGGAAAAATAAAAGTAAACAAAAAGAATAATTGGAAGGATAATTCGTAGAATAATCAACAATACACTAAATATTGAATCAGAAATATTTCTCATAATATACAATACATAAAACAATTCCATACCTATGTTACTCTATTTTCCTACGAACAGTGTGATAATATTTTCTAATTAACCTAAACATTAAGAAAGGAAATTACTACTTAAGAGAAATAACGAAATAATGAAAAAGACGTTGGATATTGTAGAAGAAAAATGAGACAAAAAAGTCAAGACAGTAATTCGTAGAATAATAAATTGAATCAGAAATGTTCCCTATGACATCGTAAAACAATTCTATATCCAAGTATTTTCTCTAACCATAATCACAAAGGTATGAATTTGTATAAACGTTTGCACTGTTTTATCACTGTATAAAGTAAGTGAAGAGAGCTCGTGTGTCATCGTCAATACGACACGCTTTTACACGACGACGACGACGACGACGACGAGTCTAGTTCTAATCCGAACATCCGCGAGGACGTCACGGATCTCTTTACTGGAACGATGAATTCTCATTTGCCCGGCCCGGTTTCGACCGCGTCCAACTCGCGGACAATTTTTTAATTAAAATGACGAAGGGCGAAAGTTGCGTTCCAACGAGATCTCTCTCTCCCTCTCGCTCCACTTCCGGTCGCTGGCTTCCTGTGCAAATGGATTAGAAAGATCGTACATGTCGCTGTCCGTGACATGGGAATTCAATATGAAACACGAGGAGCGTCCTCCACCTAACGAAAGTAACGAACAACATCGTTAACGATCGATGGCCGATAACAGAGGAAATGAAGACTCGCGCTTCTCGACCAAGCGACTTTTAATTTGCGACGTCACGTCCTTTGCGCTGGAGGAATTCGATCGTTATTTTTTCTTTTTTTTTTTTTTATTATTTTCGTTTCTCATTATTTTATCGTTGGATTCTTTTTATTATTTCACTGAGAGGTTAGAGTTTTTTTTTTTTAATTATTTAATGAAAAGTAAGAGGCAGCGAAGGTTAGAATTGTAATTGTAATTGTTGCAACAAATCTCTAAACTTCTCTCGCGAGTCTTGGCATTACTGGACCAATGACAGTGAAAAATTGTCGATAACTGAAACCGATATAATTTCGCAAGAAAAGATTATACGATCATTTTTAAAACGTAAAAATCATGTTCAGATGATCAGACTTCGAACGCTCGTAGGAACATTAAAAAATTTTTTTTCACTAAATCTACTTTAGTATTGAAGATTAAAATTTGCTCTTCAACAACAATCTCTTCAAACTCGCTGTATGATTTTTATTCGCTAATTTGTCGAACTTTGAACATTAAGACCAGATGACAAAATTCTGGTATTTCTTCAATTTTTGTCTTGTTTAACTCTATAATATTCAAAGTTCGATAAAATGGCGAGGAAAAAATCGTACAACAATTTTTAAAGGGTCGTTACGAAAGAAAGACGTCAATCTGACCACGAAAAACAATTTTTAACATATGAATTTTTACAATTTTCGAATTGTGAAATCATTTTTAAAAACCAAACCAACTCACTGTCAAAGTAAAACGCTTTACGCTTTGAAAATGAGAGTGCATCGTCATACGATCTTTGTTTGCAATGTTACATCAGTACAAATTATCGATTTTTCATTGTCATTCGCACGATTCCTGCTAGTCATCGTATTCTGGTGAATATGATTCACTTCGTCGGACGCGAATTAATTGATCGCGAATGTATTTACATTGCAATTTGCGAACGAAGTTTCTGCGAAAATTGAAAGAGCCGCACACTCGAGGTATTTCTGCGTTTGTCGATGCTTTTCAAACGCCACTCTGTCGACAGACACAGTTTTCAAGGACTTCCGTTTTAACCGAGGAGTTTCATTTAATCGAACCTCTGATGAAACTCCTCTGTCAGTTCGTTTGAAGAAAGCGGAATGGTCTCGGAACCAGGCATAACGCTTCGTTTTGCACAAAAGAATATATTCTCTGTATTTCTCGAATGGTATATTTACATATTCAATAACCAAAGTAAATACTCGGCCAATTCCCGACTGAGTACGAGCGAATATTCAGCAGGAGGTTGTTCCATCTCTATCCTCAAAGATTGTCGTTCGTACTTTTCTCATTTATCGCGTGGCTTGCTGTATTCAAAAATCAGTTTGTCTCTGGATCTCTCGATGATGCTGCCTGTGCGTTCATGCAGCGATTCACAGTCGCAACATTTTTCACAAATCTCGCCGATCTCTGATGAAAGTTGCTCCGAAAAATACCCAGTCGTCCTATTAAAGTTGGCGCTGCTTGTTTTTACAATCTGTGAAACGACACATTTACTACTATTTTGTCAAGTGCGTCTTAAATTTTTCAGTTTGGTCAAGCGTATATTCAAACAATGTAAATTTATCCCACAATATTAATTCCATTATATTTTATTTTGTATTATATTAAATTTATATTTCTTTTTTTTTTTCTTATTTTCATTATTTATAGTCGCATCAGCCACTTTCGTGGGTTATTAGCGACTTGGAGTTAAATCTTTACTAACAATTTATCATAAAAGTTAGACTGTCCTAGAAAGTGTATTAATTTTAGGACCGTTTCTTTATCCTTTAGGTTGTCAATCAGGGAAAGACTCGTATTTAATTGATGTCTATTCGTATCGACAATAATATGTTCCATGTATCTAATATTTTATATTTCATTTTATATTATTTAATTATGGCCGTGTAAATCATAGACGAGGTATGTGAATAGTGACCTGAAATACCGACATAGTAAAATCACTAGTTTTTCCAGCGCACTCTACGTTAAATAACGGTGAGTTGGAGAACTAGTGAATGCTCCAGCAACAAGAGTTCTATCCGTATTTTACGGATGTTTCACGACTTTTTTCAATATATGGTGAATTAAAATTTTAAAATTATTAACACATGGTTTTACGTACAGATGATTTATTAAGCATTCTTGGAAATAACTTTTAATCGACTAAATTTTCAACTATTTTAAACTATTATCAATATTGAATTGATTATTTATTAAAATTGTTGTTAAAATTTTCTCATTTACATATTCCTTATACCAAAGGTATATGTCTATGACAGAAGGTGTGTGTAACGTTGACAGAGAAGGATACTCAACTGATCCCGAAATATTCGCATTTTTCCAGGTATCTAACAACGTCTCTGTGTGGCGAGGCCTGCTATTGTCCAGACACCGTGGTGTCCGTCCTCTTCTGGATAGGTTACTTCAACAGTGCTCTGAACCCGCTCATCTACGCGTACTTCAACCGCGACTTTCGCGAGGCCTTCAAGGACACGTTGATGAGCGCGCTGCCGTGCTGCGCGAGCTGCTGGAAAACCCCGTCGGAGTTCGTCTAGCGAAAGAAATAACGCCGTGACAGCGCCTCGGGAGAAGTTGCCTCGAGCGAGAAGCTATTTCTTGCGATCCACCGGACAAATATCGTTGTCCAAACGATTGTCCAAACTTGCCGAAGTGTATCTCGTACGCGTTTGTTTGTCGAATGTCTGTCTGGCTGGCTGGATGTCGAGCGTTTATTGGCTGGATGTTGCATGACTGATTCAAGAGTGATCGAAAGGATCGAAACGAGGACGATACATAGGTATGACGACGAAGAATCATTTTTCTAACGAAAGTAAATTGGTTATTAACGCGTTTCGGGTAGATTTGTGTAGATCGATGAGCGTTTATTGGAGAAATTTTTTAAGGAGAATGTATTTGGCGTGATAGATCCCTCGAACTTGGGAGTTTAGTTGAATTACGTTTTTGATATTTCCGCGATCTTTCTTGACCACGACATGGCTCGTCGCGATATTCAAACGTGGGAATTTTAGTAGAGAGCTATGTTAACGCTAGAACTACCATAGTGGTCAGAATGACCAATTTTTCCAATTATACAGATTTCAAACGTTGTATTTTCATTTGATGTGGATCATTTTTACAAATTACACGAACAAGTCAAGCTTTTTACTATTCGTTTTGCATTCTAATTTCTTCGATCTTTGCTCTTTAGTCTTCGGTAGTTCTAGCGTTAAACTGTGTCTTTGGGTCTGAATAACTTCTCTGCAACATCTTACGGTGACACGCATACGCTCTTTGATTAGAGGAATTTTTTATTTTCATTTCTACCACGGTCCTCGACTTGCCATCGACAAGAAACAATCGCAGTGAACAAATTACTTGTTACACAGAACCAGTTTCTTCACGGTAGGCACAAATGCAACGAAGAGTAAAATTGTGGTAATTTTCAACAAAAAAATTTGCACACGTGTGCATTGACTATTGAAATAGAAGATTTGCTATTTGAATCTCTAATGAGGAATTAGAAGAAATATTCACTCGAAGGTCGATCGAAACAATTCTCCGTTTACGTAACTTTGGATTTTTATCGCGAGGGGATCTATGAGAGAGATTAATTTAAAATGGGACAAAGTTGGCTCCTCTCCACGGGGAAACAAGCTGCTAGCCAAACGCGTCGC